TTGGGGTACTTTGGAGCCATGGTTTAAGAGGTAGCACTTCCCCTGGGGAGAGTCACTCCAGGCCCCTCCCTGCCAAGCTGTACACCAGGGGCCTGTTTGGCTGGGGGAGGTCCCTGCAGTCTCCCTCACCTCTGTTTGCAAAGGGGATTATCAGCCAGGTCCCTGGGTCTAAGGAGCTGGGCCCAGGGTAGACAGGGAACTTGGGTCAGGGCGTCACTGCCATCGTTCAGGCTTCCAGGCTGGGGAAGAGCCTCCCTGGCAGCACAGTCCCTGGGAGAGATTGTCTCACTCAGTTGCGGCCCCTCTGCAGCCATAGCCAGGCCCCAGGCAGCTGGAGTACCCCCTCCTCAGGCCAGCACAGCCTCTGCCTCCCGACCATGCAGCAGCCTGGCTTTTTTGGGCCTGCAGTAGAAATTGACTCTAATTTGCAAAACTTGGTTCAAAACCTAACGGATATTTTAATTAAGACCCAGAAAATCCATCTGTGTAATTAAGCTCCCGGAAGTCACTGGGCTGCGTGTGATGAGTGTCCAGTTGGCACTGCATGTCCTCAGCCACCCACCAAGGCGTGACGAGGGGACGGCTGTGACGGGAGGATGTTGGCCTCGGGTGCACACAGGAAGCTGGCTGAGTCCCCCTGGGCTGGTTGTCCCCAAGGCAGGAAGGGCAGGGTGGCTCCAGGGTGTTTCTCTCAGAAACCAAGCACAGGCATGTGCACCTTCACACAGACCAAGGCCGGGTCTCAGGGCCCAAGAGCAGGACCCTGGGGTCCTATCCCTCCCAGGCATGTGTTTGGTGTGATGTGGGGAGAGGGGTAGCGGTGTATCTTAAGGATAGGAGCCCCCAAAGGGTGCGTGCTTGTAGGGATGGGTGGAGAACGTTCTGGGTGCCTGGGGTGTGCTGACGGGTTGGTTATTCCAGCCACTGTGGTGGTGTCTCTACTTCTCAGATGAGCCTGTGTTCATGGCCTCCCTGCTGGGTCCTGGGTCACTGTAGCCATGGCTCATGGCTGGTGTCCTGAGCTCTCAGGGGTACCTCAGGGGCACGGAGGTACAGTGGGAGCTTTGCTTGTCAGAGGTTTGAGAAGATGTAGACCCAGGGACGCCAAGCTGGCTGTCTTTGCAAGTTGCTGGGGCCCTGGGCTGTAGTTCCTGCTGGGGAGTGGGGCTTCCTACCCCCTGACCTGAGTAGCCTCTCATGGGCCCTGGCCCAGACCAGCTCCGGACACATCCACTCCACCATTGAGGACTGAGGTCCTCAGCTCTACCCAACGCCAGCTCCAGGGTCCAGACCTGATCCCCGCAAGAACCCCCCAGATCAGTAAATCCTTGTATTGGCCCCTTCCATCCATGTCCGGTGCCCGAGGACCAGCTCCCTTGGGTCCCTCAGGTGAGTCACCCAAGCCCCCAGTCTGTGCTGTGGAACTGGACAGTGTCGGCCTCATGGGTTCATCAAAATTCGAGATAGAGCCGTTTTGGCGCACAGTAGGGGCGGCATGGGTACTTGGTGCAGGTTTTAGCTGCAGCGCGCTCCTCTTCCCCAGCCCCACCCCCAGAGACACACACACAGCGGGCTGGCCTCCCGGGCTAGGCTGCAGGCCCCCCAGGCCCCGACTGTGCAGTCACCCCGTTAGACCTCAGCCAGTTCCCATGGGGCCCTCCGTGCTGCCCTAGCAGGACACCAGTTTCTGCTTCTCCACGGCCGAATCACAGCAAAGGCACTTGTTACTGAACGTGTAATTACATCGGTGGCTCTGTGCCACGCTGCACATCACGCCGTGGGCCAGGGGCTGCCAACATCAACTGTTGCCCTACCCCCGCCCCTGTCCCGGAGGCTGCGGGGAGAAGGGTCGAGACTGGCTTCCAGAGTCCCACAGAGGAGGGGTACACAGGATGTGACGACCTGCTTCTCATCGCTGAGCCCGTCCACCTGTAAATGTAGTGGCCCAGGGCCTCCACAGACCCTGTCCCCTCCATGATCCCATCACAGCACAGCCCTCGCCAGTTGGTCACCCATGGGATTGGAGCCCCTCAAAGGTGGGGCTGCATGGAGCCCCGGCCCCAGTGCCACCACATAGCTAGGCACAGGGCGGGTGCTCAGGGCTACCTTATGGAGCACAGCTTCGTGCCAGGCAGGGGTCCTGCTGCCGTGATCACCTCCTTGACGCACGAAACTTACCACCACGGGAACGTGGGGAGGGGAACATAAAGGCACTGATCTGAAGGTCGTGCTGCAGCTGTCACCCCAGTTCAGCGCCCACAGGCCAGGCAGGGTGGGGGCTCAGAGCTGTCTGCGGACAAGTGGTGTTTCCCCGAGCACCGTGCCCAGCTTCACTGTAGGCCGGGCTCTTGCTCTCTCCCCTGAGCAAGGCAGACGGGCAAGCCCACCTTAGAGTGGGCGTGGCTCCCGGTGGGAGGGGACCCTGACCTGGGGGTGGTGTGGGGGGATACATGAATTCCCCCGAAGCCCTGGGGCCCTCCCAGTCATAAAGGGTAGTTGCCTGTGTCCCCAGAGTTCAGGTGAACCTCAGCCATCCAGCTAGGGACCCCACACATAGCCCTGGCCCCCCATCCTGCCACAAGGCTCCCCAATTTCCTGGTGAACCAACTGTTGTAGGTGTGGGGTGCAGTCCTGCCCTAGGCAGCCACCGAGGGGACCGCCCCACACCCAGGCCTGCATGAAGCCACAGTGCCATCTGGTGGCCACTCCCTGAATGGGCGGGACTTCTCACTGAGGTCCTGGGTGGGCTCTTGTTCTGTACCCAGGGCCAGCACCCCACAGGGTGGCTGAGGCACCCGTGCTGGGTATGTGCAGTACCTGGGGATGCAGCACCTGCTGCTGGCTGAGCACCCTCAGGCCCTGCCCTGGCTGGGTGCCCTCCTGCCAGCAGGAAGGTGCTCCTGGACGTGGCCCTCCAAGGCAGCTTTTGCTCTCAGGCCCGACTGGCTGGTGGGGGTCAGGAGGATACAGGGGGTGTTCTCCCTCTGGCCTTCACCCACGTCCCATCACCCTTTATCCAAGCACGCAGTAGGGCTGCAGATCCTCTGGGCCCAGTCACTGCACTGACCCAAAGCTCCCCTCCTCCTCCTCCATCTGCTGGAGTCACATGGGGGTGGTGCAGGGCCATGGAGAGGGGGCTCTGAGGCCCCCCTCAATCTGAGGGCACCTGCAGCACCTGCTGGAGTCCAGGCTGCCTGTGAAATGCTCACCTGTGTGTGTGACCTGTTTGGTTGGGAGACACCTGGTGGAGGGGCAGCAGGTGGTCTCCAGCTTCCATCTCGAGTCCCAGCCTGTGCCTCAGTTTCTCCTCTGTGCATGGGGGTTGACAGCGGTAGTTGAGACTGGTGTCAGGGCTCTGTCCCTTAACACACAGATGATGGGGCGGGTGCAGGGGTGTGGAGGGCTTGGCACCCTGGCAGTGGTGGGGGGTTGGGGCAGGTCCTGGTGTCTAGCTCCTCCCCCCACCCCCTGCTTCCCCGTGGCTATCTACCAGCCTCCTTCATTGACCCTTAACCCAGTTGCCTGCCCCCACGTGGTTCGAGCACGTCAGCATGCTGGTCATCATGCTCAACTGCGTCACCCTGGGCATGTTCCGGCCATGCGAGGACGTCAAGTGCCGCTCGGAGCGCTGCAGCATCCTGGAGGTGGGGGCCCGGGCAGGCGGGGGCTGGGCCGACCCACTTGCCATGAATGACCCTTAGGGACACCCCGTCCCTGGGTGTGGAGAGCCCAGGTCCTGCTCTCAGACCCTCCTCCCACCAGGCCTTCGACGACTTCATCTTCGCCTTCTTCGCGGTGGAGATGGTCATCAAGATGGTCGCCCTGGGGCTGTTCGGGCAGAAGTGCTACCTGGGCGACACGTGGAACAGGCTGGACTTCTTCATCGTCATGGCGGGGTACAGCGCCGTCTGCCCACACCCAGCTCTGTTAAGCCGGGGGCCTGACGCACCTGAAGTGGCCCCTTGCCTGACCCCACCTGGCCAGGAACCCCACCCCTCAGACTCCACGGGTACTCGGGCCCCCCAGGAAGAGGGGTGCAGCAGGACCAGGCCCCATGCAGGCTCCTGAGGGGTCCGGGTGCAGCCTGGTCGGAAGTGCGAAGCCAGTGGGGCCTCTGCCAGAGCTGGGCACTCGTCCTGGGGATCCCTGGAGGGCGAGGAGTGCCCAGTGGTGATTCAGAGTCGTGCTCCTCCTGCCTCAGGGTCCAGCCTGGCTGGGTGCACGGCTTGGGGACCAGCTCTCCAGCGTGTGGTCCCCTGCTCCCCACCTGAACCTCCCTCCCTCTGCCCTCCCCCAGCATGATGGAGTACTCCCTGGATGGACACAACGTGAGCCTCTCCGCCATCCGAACAGTACGGGTGCTGCGACCCCTCCGCGCCATCAACCGTGTGCCCAGTAAGTGACCGCCCCTTCCGGACCTGGGGCCGGCCTTTGTGACTTGCCCGCTCTGCTGAGAGCCCTGCGGGGCCCCCTGGGACACGGGACCAGATGCCACGGTGCCGGTGTGGGTTCTGGACTGCTGGCCCCGGTGCTGGGGGAGGAGGGCCTCTGGGCCCTGAGCATTTGCCACGGTTGTCCTGGGAAGGGCAGGGCGGCCCTGGGCCACATCGGGGGTGGTGGCCTGCTGTGGGGCTCCTGACTCCTCGTCTGCACAGCATTGAGGGTGATGCTGGGGAGGCGGCCGCAGGCCTGGTGGCTTCGTTTTCTGGCCCATTTCCGTGGTTCTCCTGGTCAAGCTCTGCCAGGGGCCCATGGGCCTTCAGGGGCGTGTGGAGAAGCTGCTGGAAGCTCCGCAGCTGTGTGCTGGGACGATGGCCTGTCCTCACCGTCACCTGCCCAAGTGGGGATGGTTGGGGATTTTTCTGTCTTCGGAGTGTTCAGTGCTGTGACTGAATTCGGGGGGTAGGGCCCATGTGACTGTAAGGTTGTGTGTGTGTATGTTGGGGAGGGGAGGGGTCTGTGTGTACCATGTAGCTGTGTACACAGCCTCGCTGGCTACCCAGTGGCCTCGGCACCCACACCCTGGTTGTTAGGACTTGTCCTGCAGCCCTTCCTAGGAAGCCACGTACCCCCAGGGCGGGGGCTCCCTCCCCCCGGGATGTCCACTCCACCCAAGGGCAGGTTGTGCTGTGGGAAACCCCCCACCCTCAATGGAAAGACCGCTCTCCAACCCTATGCCGGCTGCCAGACCCCTAGGCTCCCCAGCGCGTAGGCCAGTGGTCGGCAAAATGCGGCTCACGAGCCACGTGCAGCTCTTTGGCCCCTTGAGTGTGGCTCTTCCACAAAACACTGGCTCTTCACAAAATACCGACTTCTGCGCATGGGCCACGAAGTTTCAATTGCACTGTACGTGCGCGCCCGCACGTGGTATTTCGTGGTATGCTTTAGGCAGACCAAGCCCAAGTTGCTGGGGATCCCCAAGGCCGCTGTTCCCGTGACGCAGCTGGGGCCACTGGACTCGTGGCCGGTCCTGGGCCTGCATGGGGCCTGGTCCTGGCCGGCAGCCTTGCTCCCTTCGATGTGGGCCTGACCCGAGGCGTCACTGTGCCTTGGGCCTGCTGGACGTGGGGCCAGGTGCAGTCCGGCAGAGCCCACTACCCATGTGAACAGTGGGACGCCTCAGAGGGGCCGGGCCCGGGGGCCTCTCCACAGGTCCCTGTGCC